TAAATGACCCTCACATCCCTCTTAACTCTACAATTCTGATTTTTTTTAATTTGCTGCTCCCACTTGTTTATTTTTTTTATGAAAGCCAGCAGATTCTCCACGTTAGCTAGCTAATATTAACAGCACATCCTGTGTTCAATTGCCTATATTAGGAAGCACAGTGACTTTAATTCTCAAGGTTTTTTTGGCAAACAGCAACGCATAATATTTGTCTTTAATGGGAAGCAAGCACAATAGGCAATACTGAGTGTTTGTGTTTTTCGATGATCCCTCGGTCTTGCTTTATAAAAAAATCTGTCTGAGGCAGCCTCTGCAATTCCGCACATGCTATAATTAGCTGTGTGATTAGAGTGTTCTTTTAGCATCAACAACCTTGAGAATAAATAGGGAGTTTGAATACATATGACTCTGGTGCTTGGCTTATAACGTGTGCTTTTTTTATTTTAAAAAAATCACTTATTTTGAATGGAGTAACATCTTCATGCAGAAATTACAGAATTCACTTGAATGCTTGCCCACACACCTGCTATTTGTATGTGTGTGCGCACATGTATATATCCAGAAAAAATGATATAAATATGAATATAGATTTAAGAAAAACAGATTATATATTTCTTTCCAATTTTGGCAGAAACTACTGATGATCACTGCAGATGGGGACAGCAGTCACGAAATTAAAAGACGACTGCTTCTTGGGAGAAAGGTGATGGCAAACCTAGACAGCATCTTAAAAAGCAGAGACATCACCTTGCCAACAAAGGTCCGCATAATTAAAGCCATGGTTTTCCCAGTAGAGATGTATGGAAGTGAGAGCTGGACCATAAAGAAGGCTGATCACCAAAGTATTGATGCTTTTGAATTATGGTGCTGGAGGAGACTCTTGAGAGTCCCATGGACTGCAAGAAGATCAGACCTATCCATTCTGAAGGAAATTAGCCCTGAGTGCTCACTGGAAGGACAGATCGTGAAGCTGAGGCTCCAATACTTTGGCCCCCTCATGAGAAGAGAAGACTCCCCTGGAAAAGACCCTGATGTTGGGAAAGATGGAGGGCACAAGGAGAAGGGGACAACAGAGGACGAGATGGTTGGACAGTGTTCTCGAAGCTACAAACATGAGTCTGACCAAACTGCGGGAGGCAGTGGAAGACAGAAGTGCCTGGCGTGCTCTGGTCCATGGGGCCACGAAGAGTCGGACACGACTAAACGACTAAACAACAACAACTGATGTATTTATTCAGGCACAAAACCGACCTTTCTCACAGGAGGCACCCACTAGGCCAGCACCCACTATGATTCCAAGGTCTTGCTCCAATTTTAAGTAAATCTTTATTCTCTTTTGGGCTGTGTGCTTTCATTTTTAGGAAGGCTCCTCAGTGGAGAACGGGATGGATTCAATATTTTCTCTGTCAACTTCTTCCACTCAAGCTATTTACCCACAGTTTATGGTGAAGTCTTTAAGCACCCTGCTGTAACAGAGGTTAGAGGTTTTTCTCTGGTTTCCAGTAAGACCACACCCTTGTTAGAATGCCTGCTCCATGATTGCAGTCATAGGATTGTTGTCTATCACATGACAGTATATGTTTTGATTCCACAAAGTGGGAAGTGACGGAGACAGGAAGTTTGTGTTACTGTGTTCCGTGAAGTGGGACTATTGTCCTTTGTTTTTTCTCTCTTTGCTGTCTGATGCTAGAGAGAGAGGGAGCCATGTTGCAGTGCTCCATGTGTGTTTATATGTAAATAAAGTAGATTAGCCAAAATGCTGAGTTGCTGAGGTCTGTTACGCATGATGTACAAACTCTGCAGATCCCTGGTGGTTGGCATCGATCGCTGTGATGTTAGGGCTGAAGAAAGCTTATGAAGCACCTGATCGACCAGGAGGGAGAGAACATGCTAGTTGGGCATGTGTCTCTGCCAGGGTCCTACTCGAGTGTAGGCCGAGCTCCTGACAACCCTGACATTTATCATTGGACCATGACTGTTCATTTTAATATAAAATGCAATCGAGGCCTAGGTCCTCTAACTCTAACCCTACTGAAGAACACTGAGGGGGGGGGGTCTGATGTCGCTCCACATCCTGGTTTTCTACAATGAGGGGTGGGTGGACATCTACAAAAAAATAAGATTGAGGAGCCCAAAGAACTTCAGCCCCCTGGAGCCAGCACCTATACTCTAACTTCAGTCAGCCATCTTAGCAACAGCAACAACATGCCCCACCACCAATGCTGCCTCCTATAATTATCAACTCTTTATCTTTAAGAATTCCACCCACCCCATTCCCTGCCTCTTCTCTGCCACGTAGCGCTCCCTTCTGAGGTCACTTTGCAACAGAAAAGGAACCATTCGGGGGCCAGGCTAGCACTGGCCACAGTGTAATATGTAGTTCGGCCCTCAGCCAATTTCTAGAAAGGGAAACTGTTCCCTTTCCCTCATGCTTTATGTTTTTTGGGGGTGGGGAATATTAACGTTGTGTCTGCTTTTGTCCGCAGTACACCTCAGCCTTTCAATGGTCAGTTAGAATCTCACTGTTCTGGGCTATCATGTTAACAGACTGCAAACCTCGGAGATGCTATCTCTTCAGATTGTATGAAGGCCTTTTCCTGTCATTCATATATATTATGTATATTATGTAACATGTTGTGTGTGTTATTCTGGTAATTTAAAAAAGTATGACTGCTCTCAGCTCTGAGTAAATTCTGGCAATTTAAAAAGTATGACTGCTCTCAGAGCAGGGAACAGTCATACTTTTTAATTTACCAGAATAACACATACAACATGTTACATAATGAGAACAGCATCTCTATCAGAGCTGCACCAATAATGAAGGCAAAGTCATTTATGTAAGTGGCCATGCACAGTTACAGCAACAGAGGCAGTGGGAGGCTTTAAGTGACTAAACAGGAACTGTAATCTGCAACACTGAATTTATGAATTGCTGTGGATGTGTTCTGATGACTAATGATGTACTGATCAATAGGGACTTAACTAATGGATGGAGGAGGTTCTCCAAACTGATAATACAAAGAGAAAGGGGGGGGGAGGAGGAGAAAATACTCAGGCCTGAAGAACATTTTATTCCATCCCCAAGAGGGGGTTTTTAATGACTCTCAAACAATGACTTTACTCATAGCTGCTGGAGATGAAAGGCAGGGAGAAGGGACTCGTTTTCCCTCTCTTTGGAGAACATCAAAATGTGATTACAGAAAGGCAGCTCCCAATAGCAGAGATGTGTGAACTCCCTTTCCACTTATTATTCCAGAAACATGAAAAGGGGATGCGTGAGTCACACATACACCCTGCTTTTTTTTGGTGCTTCCTATATTGTGAAGAGGGACACGGGTGGCGCTGTGGGTTAAACCACAGAGCCTAGGACTTGCCGATCAGAAGGTCGGCAATTCAAATCCCCATGACGGGGTGAGCTCCCGTTGTTTGGTCCCAGCTCCTGACAACCCAGCAGTTTGAAAGCACGTCAAAGTGCAAGTAGATAAATAGGTACCGCTCTGGCGGGAAGGTAAATGGCGTTTCCGTGCACTGCTCTGGTTCACCAGAAACGGCTTAGTCATGCTGGCCACATGACCCGGAAGCTGTACGCCGGCTCCCTCAGCCAATAAAGCGAGATGAGCACCGCAACCCCAGAGTCGGTCACGGTTCCTTTACCTTTACCTTTTTATTGTGTGAATCTGCAGGGCAGCTTGTTCATCTGGTTTCCCAGTGCCAAGTGTTGCTGCTGGCTCCAAAGAGGGCATGGGGACATAGGAAGCAAGGTGCAGACACGGCAGCAGATCGGATTGGCTTCACTGCCATGCTCACACTGCGGGGATCTGCCTGCACCTCACCCCTCCACTAAACCAGCAGTGGTAGGTTAAAAAAAATGGTAAAGGACCCCTGGACGGTTACGTCCAGTCAAAGGCGACTATGGGGTTGCGACACTCATCTTGCTTTCAGGCCAAGGGAGCCGGCGTTTATCCACAGACAGCTTTCTGGGTCATGTGGCCAGCATGACTAAACTGCTCCTGGCACAACGGAAGCCAGAGCACACAGAAAGACCATTTACCTTCCCGCCACAGTGGTACCTATTTATCTACTTGAATCAGCTTGCTTTCGAACTGCTAGGTTGGCAGGAGCTGTGACCGAGCAATGGGAGCTCACCCCGTTGTGGGGATTTGAACTGCCGACCTTCTGATTGGCAAGCCCAAGAGGCTCAGTGGGTTAGACCACAGCGCCACCCATTGCCCTACTCAATGTTGGGGAGGAAGGTGAGCAACACTACACTACCCTGCTGACCACTACTGCCTGAAAGGTTCTCCATTTTCTAAAGGTCTGGTTCAGTCATCTGCCTGGGCAGCAAGTTACATGACTGAGGTGTGTGTCCATCATGCATCATATGATGATCGTGTTCTACCCAAAGGCCCACTAATCTCATTTCTGCAGCTCTTTGCCCTAAAAAAAGAAGCAGGAGTTGGCCGTTGCAACTCGGTTGTCACATCTGTAACAACAACAGCCACCTCCTTCTCATCTTTTCTTGGCAACAGAACTTCAGTCTTGCTTCTATTGACCCTGGGAGGTGTTTGGCCTCTGCCACTGTTGTAGTGAGTCTACATACATGACCAGGGAATGATAATGTTGCCTTGTAATGTCAGTCCATCAAGACTTTTGGAGACGGTTGAAAATTAAAGAGACCAAATGGAAACAGAGTTCTCTAGTCCTCCTCTCTTTGGTGTCCAAGTCTCTATGGACAACTTCTTAGTCCTGTGCAGATGACAATTCTGGAGATAGTGAAAAGAGAGGGAACATGATTTACTTGTTGCCCCCTCTATATGTGGACTAGTGGGGAGTGCCCGGTGCCACATGGGAATTTTTGGTAACCGAAAAATACTGTGATTTTTGTGTGGATAGTGTGATTTGTGAATTTGGACCCTCCACACAAAAAAACTGGATTAAGTCACACCAAAGTCATGATTTGGTCCACCATCTTTATTCAAATTGGCAGCTGGCATCCAAACGTCAACGAAGTCCACCAGGTTTACTCCAGGAACTCTTGTGCAGAGTTTGGTGATGATAGCTTGATAGGTGGCAGAGCCGATACCAAAAAACAGGTGAGTCATGCCAAAGCCACATTTTGGTCTGCCACCTTGATTCAATATGGCAGCCAGCATCCAACGTCCACAAAGAGTGGACCTTGAGAAGCCTTGTGCCATGTTTGGTGAAGACATCTCGAGAGGCGTACAAACGCAGAGAGAACAAACAAACAAATGGAAAAACTACTTTCCAGAATATATAGTAGATTGGATCTCCCCACACTCAGCCTACATTCACACAAGATATATGCTTATAGGCTCTGTGATGAACCAGTGATTGATGTATAGAGGTCACAGGGGGACATTGGCACGATCACCCTCCATAAATCCATTAGGCCCAGAATTGTTGTCTGCACATCTTTGCTGGGTTTCTGTCGTGTATGCATATGTACCACGAGTAAAAAAATGGGTTGTTGTGCAGCAAGGGAGCAGCGTGAGATTTTATTTTACAAAAGAACTACTTTAAATTGAGATGGCATTGTGCAGGTCCAGTTCATAGATGAACTCCTTATAAAGCCACAGGGGGGTTGGCATAATCCTATCAAAGCCACTGTAACTCAAGAATTAGACTTTGCTTTCCTGCCCATATGAGGACTGTGTGCACATGTTTTGCCTGGCAATTCAGCCATACATCGATCACCACAAACCATAAGATAGATCTCATTGTGTTCTCTCTAGGGAACACAAAATGTTGACAAAGGGAACAGCATGTTCTGCACATTAACTGGCTAGAGGCAATTCTATTATCTATGAAGGATTACGCACGGCAGCTAGTAACCATCTGCATTGTATTTACAAAAGTAACAATTGGTTTCTCTCCTATTGCCTTGTTAACAATTTAAGACAAATTAGCTTTATTCATGCATTATTATTTTTTTAAAAAAATTAAGGACAATCTAATTATGTATGCTTTTTATATTTAAAGAGTTGCCTTGCTTAATACAAAATCACGACAGCTTACCCATCAAAATATAGCATGAATTGCTAACAATAGGGAAAAGAAAATTGCAAACAATTGTAAGAATAACCGTCTCATTACCCCAAGTCACTGTTTGTTCATCACAATGATGCCGGGTTGTTGGTTTGTGTGTGTGTGTGTGTGTGTGTGTGTGCTTCCAAAAGCTGGCAAAGTTGGGCTTGCAAAGGAAATTCTATTATATGGAAGCCAGAAAAAGGATGGCCAAAGTCTGCCTCATGCTCTGGCAATTCTTATATCGGCTGAAAATGGTGGGCACGAGGTCTCATCTGGAGAAACTGGTTTACGACTGAGAATACTGCCCCTTGCACAGGAGAAAAATTAAAAATGGAGCTAGGCTTATGACGTTTCCACCCAGAGCTACTGATTATTTCTGCTAAGCACATCACAAAAAAATTACTCTTGGTCTTCTTTTAAAAAATCATAGAGTGTTACACATCTCAAAATGTTGAGGAACTATGCCCATAAACATATAATCCATTTTGACTCTCCCCCTCATTGCGGATCTTAATGTAATGATTTCCCCCTCTGCATCTCTTTCATAACTCTATTATTATGAATCCTTTGTCAATCCATAGTTCAACTTTTTACTGCAAGTTTTCTGTCAATCCTACCAATTGTTTACAATATCCTTTCAAATAAATTAAAATTTCCCCCCATTGTTTATTAAAGACCTGGTTTCTAATCCTTCCAGTAAGTTTTGCCATCTCGACATAGTTTTGTCTGCCACTCTTCTTTGGTCAGAGTTGTACCATCTTTCAATTTCTGGGCTGACAGAGTCCACGCAGCCATGGTTGCATACATAAGTAGTTTCATCTGGTCCTGATGTGGTTGAGGGGCGGAGCAAGATGGGTGCGGTGGGTGCGGACTGCCCTGGGTGTCACCGCCGAGGGGTGCCTGCCCATGAATCCCATCTACCGCAAGCCGTCAGGGGGGAAGGGAGGGAGCTGTGACGCTGTGACGCTTTGCCTTTTTGACATCCCTGCACTCCTGGGCTGCTGGAGGAGGAGAAGAAGAAGAGTTGGGATTTGATATCCCACTTTATCACTACCCGAAGGAGTCTCAAAGCGGCTAACATTCTCCTTCCCCTTCCTCCCCCACAACAAACACTCTGTGAGGTGAGTGGGGCTGAGAGACTTCAGAGAAGTGTGACTAGCCCAAGGTTACCCAGCAGCTGCATGTGGAGGAGCAGAGACACAAACCCGGTTCACCAGATTACGAGTCTACCACTCTTAACCACTACACCACGCTGGCATGCAGACGGGCAGAGAGAGGACGGGAAGGAGGCAGCCGAGTAAACAAGTGAAGGGAGGAGGGAAGTAGAGAAGCAAGAGTGTCCTCAACTCAGGACCCAAATCTTGTAATCCCCCAAAAAACTCAACAACTTTGGCCAACCCTCCCCTAAAAAAGTTGAACAACTCCTGGCAATGACAATGAGTAGATCACAGCCAGTCTTTTTATACTGTGAGTAGATCACAGTCTCTTGGGAGTCCAACTCAGGGGTTGGCAAAGTTTTTGTGGCTTGGGCCGGTTCACGGTCCTGCAGACGCTGCGGTGGGCCGGAGGTGCGCGCACACACACATGTGCAAATGCTATTTCCGGTGCTCCTTCCAGCATGGAGGAGGCATGTGCAGCTTCCCATTGGCTGCAGGAGCTTCTTGCAGCCAATGGGAAGCCGGCCAGCATTGTGGAAGGCAGTCCCCGCTCTGCTCCGCACTGGTTTAGCATGGCGCACGGGAGCTGACCGAGCAGATGGCCGGGGTCCATGGGCCAGTTAAACAACCCCCATGGGCCACTTGTGGCCCATGGGCCTTAGGTTGCTGACCCCTGGTCCAAATAGATTTCAATGTGGGGGGAGGTGACAAGAAATTTTCCGTAGCGGGTACCACCTGACCTTGCTACGCCACTGGTAGAGTCCCAGGAAAGAGAGTTTGCTTTGTGAGTTTTTTCACCTTGTATGCTGTTCTCTCTGTTACAGATACGGGCTTCTGTCTCTTCGCCCTTAAGGTAAAGGTAAAGGGGACCCCTGACCATTAGATCCAATCACGGACGACTCTGGGGTTGTGGCGCTCATCTCGCTTTATTGGCCAAGGGAGCCGGCGTACAGCTTCCGGATCACGTGGCCAGCGTGACTGAGCCACTTCTGGCAAACCAGAGCAGCGCACAGAAACGCCATTTACCTTCCAGCCAGAGTGGTACCTATTTATCTACTTGCACTTTGACTTGCTTTCAAACTGCTAGGTTGGCAGGAGCAGGACTGAGCAACAGAAGCTCACCCCGTCACAGGGATTCAAACCGCCAACCTTCTGATCGGCAAGTCCTAGGCTCTGGGGTTTAACCCACAGCGCTACCCGCGTCCCTCCTCTGTAAAGGACTGCAAAGTTCTCCAGGAATACCTGTATCTGACCAGTAACCTAGACCCCGTCTCTTTATTCACATTTCCATTGGCTTCCAAATCTGTCTTTTCACTGTTGTTCCATGTGCGGCTGAAATAAAATACAAATAAATGACCTTTTAATAATTGGGAGTGCCTTGGAGTAAGTGTTAAGTAGAAAGCTAATCTTGGCTTAGGAATGGTAAGAACTGCATAATGATATTGGCTCTGACCTCTTGGGCTATACTAGATGCATGAAACATATTACTGGAGGGTGTTTTTTTGGGTGGGTGGCGGCGGCCAGAATTATATTTAGAGGTTAACAAAACCCGTCATTTACACTTTCGTTGCTGTTTTTCATTATAATTTTAAGCACATGCCAACCTGTAGTTAATAGTCTTAATGAATAGATTTCTACCCCAAAATAAAAGAGCTGATTTCAGATCTAGAATTCCAGGGTAATAAATGTTAAGTGTTTCCTTGGTACCTTGACCCCTATCCCTATTGGGACAGTAGTACTGCTCCACCCCTGAGCCCTAGTAGCTACAATAATTAACATTATTGTAGCCCAGAAAAAATCCACATTGTTTTGCGAGGTCTCTTTGTACCCAGGCTATGCCTGCATTTTTCTCCTTAATGGGATTTGTCATTCTCATCCACTCTGCAGTCTCTCTCTCTCTCTCTCTCTCTCTCACTGTAAGAGGGTTGCTCTCTGAATAAATCCTAGATATTGCTTTTGAGTAAGTGCAGACACCTTTAGTTACTCCAAACATAAACACAGCTTTATTTAACAAATGACAGGCATATATATGAGTTTACAGCTGCCTCTTAATTCTCCCCTAGCGTTCACTTCCTGTGTTAAAGTATTCTAGTGAATTATTCTTACATCTATATATCTTCTTTTATGCTCTATGGTGTTTTGAGTGTCCTCTGCTGCTCAGCTTGGACTCTCTTTCCATCTCTATTAATTAATTAACTAACGAACATCTCTTACCTTCAGCATAATAATAATAATAATAATAATTTATTATTTATACCCCGCCCATCTGGCTGAGTTTCCCCAGCCACTCTGGGCGGCTCCCAATCAGTGTTAAAAACAGTACAGCGTTACATATTAAAAATTTCCCTGAACAGGGCTGCCTTAAGATGTCTTCTGAATATCAGGTAATTATTTATCTCTTTGACATCTAATGGGAGGGCGTTCCACAGGGCGGGCGCCACTACCGAGAAGGCCCTCTGTCTGGTTCCCTGTAGCCTCACTTCTCGCAATGAGGGAACCGCCAGAAGGCCCTCGGCGCTGGATCTCAGTGTCCGGGCTGAATGATGGGGGTGGAGACGCTCCTTCAGGTATACAGGACCGAGGCCGTTTAGGGCTTTAAATGTCAGCACCAACACTTTGAATCGTGCTCGGAAACGTACTGGGAGCCAATGCAGGTCTCTCAGAACCGGTGTTATATGGTCCCGGCGGCCACTCCCAGTCACCAGTCTAGCTGCCGCATTCTGGATTAATTGCAGTTTCCGGGTCACCTTCAAAGGTAGCCCCACGTAGAGCGCGTTGCAGTAGTCCAAGCGTGAGATAACTAGAGCATGCACCACTCTGGCGAGACAGTTCGCTGGTAGGTAGGGTCTTAGCCTGCGTACCAGGTGGAGCTGGTAGACAGCTGCCCTGGACACAGAGTTAACCTGTGCCTCCATGGACAGCTGTGAGTCCAAAATGACTCCCAGGCTACGCACCTGGTCCTTTAGGGGCACAGTTGCCCCATTCAAGACCAGGGAATCCCCCACACCAACCCGCTCCCTGTCCCCCAAAAACAGTACTTCTGTCTTGTCAGGATTCAACCTCAGTCTGTTAGCCGCCATCCATCCTCCAACCGCCTCCAGGCACTCACACAGGACCTTCACCGCCTTCACTGGTTCTGATTTAAAGGAGAGGTAGAGCTGGGTGTCATCTGCGTACTGATGAACACCCAGTCCAAACCCCCTGATTATCTCTCCCAGCGGCTTCATATAGATATTAAAAAGCATGGGGGAGAGGACAGAACCCTGAGGCACCCCACAAGTGAGAGCCCAGGGGTCTGAACACTCATCCCCCACCACCACTTTCTGGACACGGCCCAGGAGGAAGGAGCGGAACCACTGTATGACAGTGCCCCCAGCTCCCAACCCCTCTAGACGGTCCAGAAGGATGTTATGGTCGATGGTGTCAAAGGCCGCTGAGAGATCCAGCAGAACTAGGAAACAGCTCTCACCTTTGTCCCTAGCCCGCCGGAGATCATCAACCAGTGCGACCAAGGCAGTTTCAGTCCCATGGTGAGACCTGAATCCCGATTGGAAGGGATCCAAATGGTCCGTTTCCTCCAGGCGTGCTTGGAGTTGTTCAGCAACCACCCGCTCAATCACCTTGCCCAAGAATGGCAGATTTGAGACTGGGCGATAGTTGGCAAAATTGGCCGGGTCTAAAGATGTTTTTTTAAGAAGCGGTTTAATGACCGCCTCTTTCAGCGGGTCTGGGAAGGCTCCCTCACAGAGGGAAGCATTCACCACCCCGCAGAGCCCATCGCCCAGCCCTTCCCGGCTCGCTTTTATCAGCCAGGATGGGCAAGGATCAAGGAGACAGGTGGTCGGTTTCACTTTTCCAAGCAGCCTGTCCACATCAAAGCATGGATGTATTTTCCCCAGGATGACTAATGGTGTAATATGAACAGAAAACTACAACTGAAGGAATAATAATGTAGATTGTAGAATAATAATAATAATAATAATAAAGCGAAGTTAATATAGCAAAAATAATACTAATACCACAACACTAATACAGTACTGTTGCATCTTACATGCATTTAACCTGTGTGATTTCAACCATATGCTTTTGGGGGCTGGCCAGTTGAAATTCAATGGAAACAAGGCAAAGAGCTTAAAAGCTATATCTATCTATCTATCTATCTATCTATCTATCTATCTATCTATCTATCATCTATATCTATCTATCATCTATCTATTAGTTTTCAAATTTTAACAAATCCATCCAAATTATTTAAATTTAATACATTTTTTCAAAAAAATAATAATTAGGTTTCCTGCTCCCATTGCAATCATATGTCCATTACATTCCTGATGTTACCGCTTCATTCTTTGAGCTTAAAAGCTTTTTTTGGTGATGGCTTCAGGGATGGGCGTAGCCAGGATTTTTGTTAGTAGAAGAGGGGCAGCCAAAGTTGTTTTTTTAGGAAATCAAAGTCGTTCAGCTTTCCTTGGGAAATCACGGGTTCAGGGTTCAAGGCTGAGCCAAGACCTGCTGGCACCTGAAGCGAACCAGAAAATGCTGCCTCCCCCACCAGGGAAGAAGGGCTGAGTGAAAATCAATGTCCAGAACAAAAGGGGGGGGGGATATCTGCATCAAGAACAAGGATGGAAGGAGACTGGCAGAACCACCTATTTGCCAAGAGGTGGCATTTGTGTGTGTGGTACTGCCAAGGAAGCAGCATGAAATATACCTGGAGTCCTGCAGTGATTTCATGCTCTTTACTGCAGCTTGTAAAACAGTGATTCAATTCCCCCCCAAACCTCAGGCTTTTATATACTGTACATTCTTTACACAATGAGTCCCGTCTGATTGGCTGATTCTGCTTCCCTCCTGGAGCCTGATTGGTCTTCTCCTGCAGGCCAATCAGTTGTTGCATTCTACGATCCTACCAGCCTAATAGGCTGATTAACTTCCTCCTGGAGCCTGATTGGTCATCTCTTGCAAGCCAATTACAAAATCATATAAACAGGTCGACTCAACAATGTAATTGCACAAAATATCTTTATATTCCACAATTGCTTGTTTGTGTTTTAAAGAAATCAATGAAATAAAAAAGGAATGTATCATTTGATTTGGCAGAAGGGTAGGTTGGTAGATGGGTGGGAAATAAATTATATTCAGCTCAATTTCTGTGCCTTTAGATCAAATTCCAGAAACTCCCCCATTAGATATTTGTTAGGTTCAGTATTTGTGATCAAAGGATGAGGAGGTGGGTTTTTTTATCTGAACACGGCAAGGCGCTGATGAAATTGCAAATCACCTTAAAGAGATTTTGACCGCAAGAGGCAGGCAGCTCCGCCAGAACTGTTTATAGTCTGTTCTGTAACACTAATAAGCTAAATGCTTGTATTCTGCTCTTGTTCATTTTGTTTGGTAGTTCCTGTTAACAACTGGGCCTTTTCTTTCCCTTTTTTTTTTAAAAAAAGTCAATCTTGAACATCTGAACACCGGCTCCAACTCAACTATCCAGCTTAATTACAGAAGGATATAAAATTTTAACACCTATAAATGGCCTCTTACTTTGCCTATAAACTTGAGACACTGCAACAGAGGAGTTATTAAGAGAACAAGACTAGAGGTGGGGGCTAGGAAAAAGAGAACAAGTTAGCTTTAAGGCGCAGCAAACTCCACTGTGCACCTATGAATGAGGGAGGACTCATTCATCCAACGTTTTCTCTCTCTTCAAACTCTAAGGTCTGTTTCACTCTAGGTGAATGGTCTGTTTCCTTGCAGGTCAGTTTTTCCTGTAGCAAATCTATTGCCTCCATTAGTCTTAATGCCTCAAATTTGCACTTGTGGTTGGAAGAGGTTTTTATCCCCCATCCTCACAGCAATTTTTTGCACAAATAAAGGGAGCCCTTGATAAATAAAATGTGTGCATTTGCTCATATGTTGCCAAGCCCTTATTAAAGAAACTGGTAATCAATATTAGAATTGGATCAATATGATTAAGAAATACATGAACTATAAATAACAGGTGGTACATAACATTAAAAGGGGAAGGAAATGCCGTGGGCACAGTACATTAAATGTCAAAACATTGAAAAACGATATTCTGTTTAGAAAGAAATGAATTCCTTCTGCAGGAATTGGTCAATTTGCTTTTTTGCTCGAGGTGAAATTCGGGTGGTAACTCTGATCAGAACATGATAAAGTGTGAAGTTATTGGTCACTTGGTTTGAAAATACTGATACTTCTCTGGAATTGAATTGGGAAATCTATGAAGGGAACACCATGTCATCTCTTTCCACACTGGGGCCATTTAGTGAATTAGCTGCCGCAATTGGTTGAATAGAAATCAGAAACAGTCAAAATCCTATAATGCCCATATGGGCAAGATTGTAAGTATGTTTACTCAGAGGTAAACCCCACTAGGTTCAATGGGAGCTACTCTACCTGAAGTGTGCTTAGAATTCAATCACAAAGGCATATGCATTTGGTGGGGTTTACTTTTTTATTTTTTCGTCAAATCTTTTTTATTAACTTTTGTCTGGAGTCAGGTGTCAGCAATGGGGTGGCGCTTCCTGTTTGCTAGTGCTAGGACCGGGGGCTTTTTTCAGCCAGAACTCACTGGAACTCAGTTCCAGCACCTCTCAGATGGGTACCATTGCCATTATAAGAGAATAAGGGAGGCGTTCGTAGTGAGTTTTGGGACCTCTTTTTCTAGAAAAATAGCACTGGCTAGGACCTTTACACATAATTTTATGAGCTACAGTCGTACCTTGGATCCCGAACGCCTTGCGAGTCGAATGTTTTGGCTCCCGAACGCCGCAAACCTGGAAGTGAGTGTTCCGGTTTGTGAACGTTCTTTGGAACCCGAATGTCCGACGCAGCTTCCGCGGCTTCTGATTGGCTGTAGGAGCTTCCTGCAGCCAATCGGAAGTCGCACCTTGGTTTCCAAATGTTTTGGAAGTCGAATGGACTTCTGGAATGGAATCCGTTCGACTTCCAAGGTACGACTGTACTTCCTTTATACTAGCCTCCCCCAAGATGGTGTCCTCCAGCTGTTTTGGACTACAATTCATTATCCCTGACCATTGACTGTGCTGTCTGGGGGTGATAAGAGTTGGAGCATAACAACATCTTGTGAGAACAGGATGCTGGATTTGATGGGCATTGGCCTGATCCAGGCAGGCTCTTCTTATATTCTTCACATCTGGAGGGCAGCAGGTTGGGGAAGACTGCTATCTAGTGACTCACAGGCTCAGGCTGTAAGTTCATCCCTCAAAGTTGGTGGAACAGTTTGAAAAGTGCTCCAAGAAAGAGTTTTCCCAGCATGACATCTGCAAGTTAAGTTCCTATAAGTAACTTTAAATACTACTACACTTCTGGAATGACTCGCACTTCTGCTGCTAAATTTAGCTACAGCACTGCTGTCGGTTGCTGATAAGCTAAAATTACATCCCTTTGATTTGCTTGCCATTTAAAAATATTTCAGAGGATTATTACATTTATAATCAGGATTATCACTCTCTTTCCATACTGGATTTAAGTCATGCGGTGGAAGAATGATTTCATACTTGACTATCTTTGTGTTCCCAGACAATATGCATCATAAATTTACTTCCTTACGGAGTAGCTCTGAAGAAACTGGGAGAGCAAATTCATTCAAGATTTTTTAAGCATCATTCATCAGAATGGTAATTTCCTCTGTATACACGCACACAAAACAAGAAGTAAGTTGTTAAAATGAAGTGTCCACTGGATAACCCGCTGAGAATTTATTGGCAGCTGCTGTTATAATCTCCTCATGTTTACGTTATTTGTGTTGATATTCATGTTGACTTTCTGAAATCAGTAGCTGCATGATTAGAGGCGAGGAAAGGAATTCAAATATTATCCACTGGGTTTCTGAAGAGCAAGGATGAACAGTTTTGGGCCTCATTTGATCCTCAGGGTTCTTACGGGCAAATCTGAAGTCTCTGATTAGAATCATGAAAATCTACTCTAATTATCCCCCACCCCAAAATAATCTTCCAACAGTACAGTCCGCTACTCAGAAGTTGAGTCTATTCAGATGTTTGAGTTCAGTGAGACTTATTCCCCTTGTATAGGATGTCAGCCTTAATCTCATAATGATAAAGAAGTTTTAGTCAGCCTTGCTGATAGTATAAATTCCAATATGCTCACCATAGTTGTGTGTATTGGCCCTGTGTGAACCTCAAATTATGAGGCATCCTGGATTTTCCATGTTTCGGAGTCATATTGTACCATTAACAATACATCTTGAGACAGATATGGGGTGTGTCTAAGCTTCAAAGGTGTTCTGTGGCCTCAGCTGCTGAAAAAAGAGAGAAACAGAACCAAGTTGACTGGGGAAATTCCCAGAGCTTGAGAGGGGTGGGTTTTTCCAATTTGACTGCCAGGGACTGGGCAGAGGAGGAATTGTGGAACCGCCTCCCCAGCCTGACCCTTCCAGAGAAGAGGAAGACAGTTCAGAATTACAACAGGGGTTTGAGGGAGATCATAGCTCAGAGGCAGATGAGGGGGAAAGTTGGAAAATAATGGGAGAGGAGGAGGAAGAGTTGGCACCAGGGGGGCAGCAGCTGATGGACACAGTGTCTTTAGAAAGCACTGCAGTCCTCCCGTCCCAGAACCTGGCGAGTGTTGAAAGTAGGAGAGCAAAGAGCTCAAAGGCAAGAAGGCACATAGCAGCACCCATAGGTGACGTGATGTAGGAGAGATGATGAGATTGACGAATGAGGAAGAGGGAGAGATGGAGGGTGGAGATTCACTCAGGACAACACCATTATCCAATAGGCTGGGTTCTAAAGCCTATCTCTGTAAATACTGAGTAAAAAACGGATGGTAAGAACATTCCTTGTCTTTCTACTTCCTGGGCCGTGGGATTCGCTGGCAGCCACCTGACATTGATAGACAGCTCTAGCTTTTAAACACAGTGAAATACTTTCCCAGGGCACTCCAATCCCAGTGATCTGCAGGGAGGGATTAATAACGGTGACTGTTTCTCATATGCATGTATGATCCCCCGGTGCAAGTCAATGGAAAGATCTTCATTGTATCCCCTAAAAACTGTGAGAGTCAGAAACCCAGCCCCATCAACTCCTTCCCTCTTTCCCTGTGAAAGTCAGTGGAGGGATCCATAGGTGCCAACTTCCTGGGGCCCTGGGTGCCCAAGCACCCACAAAATTCCCCATGAAGGGGCTGGGCATCCACAAATTCTGGCACCAGGGCCATGCACACTGCATGGCACCCATGGCCCCGGGTGTCCATGATCATGGGGCCAAGCTGGCACTCCTTTTTAAAAAAAATAATTTTTATTAACCGACCAATCAAGTCAAATCAAATCACATCACATAAATTCCAAATTACAAAGCCGAATTTTAATTTTTTGTTGGGGTGACCCATATTTCAAGTTCCGAAGGGGGATTCTGATCATCTTCTTGCTGCTGCGTTAATATCCACAAATCTATCCAAATAATGTTCATAATTCTATCCAGTCTTATCTTGCTGTTTCCACATCTCATCTTGTTCGTATATTTTTCTTTTTTTCCTTTATGATCTCTTCTGATAATCTCCTTAAGCAGGTAAACACCAATTATAATCCTGTGTGATTTTTTTCCGTTCGTCCAGTCATCATATCAAGATGGTTTCCATATATCATCACTTTCATAAATAACAGCACTCTTTCCATCATTAATCTCGCAAGTCTGTCGCATTTTAATCCCACTGAGGAGGCTCACCCATAATATGAAAACAGATCTTTCCTCCTCCCAGACA